TAATACATATATTGTATCATTTATAACATAATACAGCATATATATATAATATATACACTATATATTATATATCACCTAATTGTATGCTAAATTAAAGTAGAGTGCTTTAAGCCTGGCCTTGAATGTGGAGACTGTATCTGCTTCCTTAACATAAATGGGAAGCTGATTCCACAGTAAAGGAGCTTGGTAGATAAATGCTCTGCCGCCAACAGTGATTTTTGAGACCTTCGGAACCACCGGACGTCTGGCGTTTTGTGAGTGCAACGCTCGACTTGGTTGATATGACACTAACGTGTCTTGGAGATAGGAAGGAGCCAAGCCATTTATGGCTTTATATGTTAAGAGAAGGATTTTATTCTTTATTTATTTATTCCGTACTCCACAGGGAGCCAGTGGAGTGATTTTAACACCCGAGTTATGTGCTCCCTCCTTTTGGTACCTGTTAAGATCCTAGCGGCTGTATTCTGAACGAGCTGGAAGCTCTTCAAAGAGGTTTTAGGGCATGCTGCCAATAAAGCGTTACAGTAGTCAAGTCTTGAGGTGACAAAAGCGTGAATACGTTTTTCCGCGTCACTTTTAGGAAGGAAATTCCTGATTTTAGCGATGTTCCGTAAGTGAAGTACGCCGTTTTAGTTGCTTGGCTTATATAAGCCTTGAGGGAGAGTTCTTGGTCAAAAATTACTCAAAGATTCCTCACAGTGGCGCTTCGGACAGAGTAGGATCACTTCTGTCTTCTCCGGGTTGAGAAGTAGGAAGTTAAGAGTCATCCACGTTATTAAGGTCCTTTATGCAGGCACTAAGCTTTTCCAGCTGATCCGTCTGGTTTGGCTTCATCGACAGATAAAGCTGTGTGTCATCTGCATAGCAGTGGAAATTAATTCCATGCTTTTTAATAATGTTTCCTAACGGCAGCATGTAGAGAGTGAAAAGAATCTTACAGAGGGCTGCACCTCTAAGACCTATATCACATTCTAGCCTCTGCAGTAGAATGCTGTGGTCTATTGTGTCAAATGCAGGACTAAGGTCCAGTAGGACCAGCACTGACACTTGTCCATGATCAGCAGCTAGTAGTAAGTCATTTGTGACTTTGACTAGTGCCGTTTCAGTGCTATGATGAGCTCTGAATCCGGATTGAAAGACTTCAAAATATTATTTTCCTGCAGGTGAAAGCAAAGCTGCTCAGCTATAAGTTTTTCCAGGATTTTAGATATGAAAGTGAGGTTTGAGATTGGTCTGTAGTTTGTAAGTACTTCTGGATCCAGGTTTGTTTTCTTCAGAAGGGGTTTGATTACCGTGGTTTTAAAAGCTTGTGGGACATAGCCACATTGTGTCACATATGGATGCGTTTATTATATTTACGATAGGCTCATTTATCAAAGCAAGTGTGTCTTTGAAGAGCCAAGTTGGGATTGCGTCTAACATGCAAGTTGAGGCTTTTGAGGATGTGACCACAGAGATCACTTCTGCTTGGCTCACAGCCATGAATTTATCGAGGCCCACTGAAGAGACTAAGGCTATATCCACACGAAGACAAAACGCTTATAATTTCAGAAACTTTTTCTGTAAACACGGAGTTAGCTCAGTAAATGTGTGCGTCCATATGAATGTAGTCAATACGCCTGAAAACGCTGTGAAACTATGCCAGACCTGTTGGTGGCGCTGTGACGCAATGACGGGATCAAGCCCAAACTTCCGTGGGCATGCGCGGAATTTTGTAAACAGACAACATGGCGAGTGGGCGAGCTGGTACTACATTAGTATGGGCGGACGATGAGGTTGAACTGTTGCTTCGGGTCACACTGGATTACAAAACCAACAAGCTACATTGTTGTTGTCATTATTTTCTGAGTGCGGCGCATGCGTGCTTTAACAAGAGGCGGGGCGATGACGCAAGCGTCTCAGATACATTGCGGAGAGGCAGTAACCACGGAGCGGCATATACGGAGTTTTGAAATCTTTCCACTCTGGGACCTAGTTTCAAAAATGTTCGTTTACACCCCCCCAAAACGCCGGCCTCGTATGGACGATACACTGGATTGATAAAGTATTTTTGCGTTTAGGCCTGAGCTTGACTTCGTGTGGACAGGGCCTAAGTGGGAAGTCATGTATGCCGCTTCAGCCTGTCCACTACCAACAGCAGGAGAAACCTCCTCCAGTTTGTCACGAATGTATGTAATTTTATTATTAAAGAAATGGAGAAAGTTGACACTGCTCAGTGAGCTTGGAATTTTAGGCTCGATTGCGCTATGGCAGTTTGTGAGTTTAGCGACGGTGCTAAACAAAAATCTACTGTTATTTTTGTTGGCTTCTATTAAAGTTGAGTAGTATTGAGTTCGAGCCCTGCGAAGGGCATTCTTGTAGTTTCGGAGACCTGCTTTCCACTCCCTGTGGACAGGCTCCGAGTGGGAGTGGCGATATAGCCTCTCCAATTTTCTGACGTCCTGTTTTAAAGTGTGGAGTTGAACACTGTACCAGGGCGACGATGATCTAATAGTTTTCTGTTTTAAAGAAGCTGCTGCATTTAATGCAGATTTTAAAGACTCCATAGTGTTGTCCACTGTTTGGTCAATGACTGAGGGACTGCAGCAGCTGTGAACAGGTTCACCTGCAGCAGTATTCAACATAGGCTGTATTAGTTCTTTGAACCTTGTGATAGATTTATCATTTAAGGTTCTTTTCATTATGGTTTTATCTTGCGGCGCAGGAAAGTCCTCCAAATCGAGATCAAACGTGATCAAGAAAAGATCAGACAGCAACGAGCTTTGACGTTGGACGTCAACATTGGAGACATCACAGCCGTAGGTCAGGACAAGGTCCAAGGTGTGGTTATGAATGTGAGTAGGTTCCTCAACATTCTGAGTAAAACCAACACCATCTAGTACGGCGCTGAAAGCTTTGTTTAAGCTGTCAGTAAAACTATAAATAGCACCGCTTTTTGTTTTCTCCACCCAGGACAGGTGATTGAAAGTGTTAAGTTTTCTAACGAGTGAAAAGCATTGTTGGTTTTGGGACTAAGAAGTAAGTTGGTGTGTGATATAATCGCAACACCACCGCCGCGACCTGTAGTTCTCTCTTTCTGGTAGTTAACATGCGTCGGAGGAGTGCACTCATTCAATCTGACGTAGTCGTCTTGTTGGAGCCAAGTCTCAGAGAACGCAAACAAATCCAAGTTTTTGTCTATAATAAGTTTGTTTATGAGAAGCGATTTAGACGAGATTGATCTGACGTTCATTAATCCACATTTAACAGCCCTACTTTTAGAACTATTTCTGTCTGTCTGAACTTTTATTAAGTTACTGTGTCTGACACCCAGGTCAGATTTCCTCGCATATAGTGCTTTCGACTTCAAGCGAGGAACACACACAGTTTCAATCTGACTAGCTTCTGAGGCTAGTAACTGAGCACACACACGCACACACACACACACAGTTTCAATCTGACTAGCTTCCGAGGCTAGTAACTGAACAGATGGGGGCTCAGAGGTTGTGGCAGAGCAGCTCTGCACCCGGGCCTCAGTTCTGCACCGTCATTTGAGCCGGGCAGAACAATTTAGAGCCAGGGCCAAATTCTTAGCCAAAAGGGATGTACCCGCCAACGTTGGGTGGATATCATCCGAGCGGATGAGACCGGGCTTTCCCCAAACGGCACTCCAATTGTCAACATGAACAACACCACTTCGAGGGCACCAGCCAGACAGCCAGCGGTTGAAAGTCGAGTGTCTGGTGAATGCTTCTCCACTGCTAGTGATAGGTAGGGGCACAGAGAAGATGACAGTGTCGGCCATTGTGCTAGCCAGCTTGCACATTGCGGCGACTTGCAGCTTCAACCCCTCGGACTGTTTCCGCCGAACGTCATTACCACCCGCGTGAATAACAATTTGACGGAAACGCTGCTTGTTGGTCATCATGAGCCTCAGATTCCCTTCAATATCACCAAGCCTGGCCGCGCGGGGGCGCAGCCGGACAGAGCGTCCCAGCGATTGTAAATGCTAACAGGAGGAGGCCCAATGGGGAAACTACCAACAACACGTCGCCCTCTCCGAACAGTCACAAAGCCATCACTATCCTGGTCTTGTCCCAGCTGCGGAGGACGGGCTGGGAGGCTAGGCTCGCTAGTTCTCCTCTGCCTTTCCCTAAAGCTGCGCTCCACTATCCCTGAGGATACGGCCTGACTATAGCTAATGCTAGCGCTAGCTCGAGACTCCAGTGCTCGGAGACGCAGCTCTAACTCACTGACCCTGGATTCCAGACCTACGACTACACTACACTTCACACATCTATCACTACCCTCAGAGAAGGATCCAGGGTTTAGACTCGCCATATGGCAACTCGAGCAGTACTGAGGGAGAGACAGCAGCCGCCATAGGAGTTCCCCTTAATAGGGAACACATGGAATAGTTTGGTAGCTTCTAACGGGAGCTGATTTCGAAACTATACAGTATGTGGAAGAGGCTGCATTTGTGCTCCGTTTGCATGACAGAGCTCACGGACAAAGACCAGACAGGTACATATCAACTAGTCTAAGGTAAGGTAAGAACATATGTCAGTATGTACAAACGGTGGCCTATTCCTTTAAGGAGGAGCTCTCTCCTGCCGGCTAGTCCACCTCAGAGAGCGAGAATAACGCTAAAGACCTGTTAAAATACATGTGGATCCAGTCTCCGCCCCTTCACCTCTGGCCCTGAGGGTCCCAGAAGCCGCTCCCTGTGTCCGGGACATCACCCACACAGTGTCCGGGACGTCACCCACACAGTGTCCGGGACGTCACCGACACAGTCCGTCACAATCTTTCAAACATAAGGGTTAAATTCACTGGTTCATTATAAAGAAAGCACACTTTACTACGAATAGAGAATAGTTAGTAAGAGTTTATCTTAATAATCCAGGAGACATTCTTTAGCTGGAAGCAGACACCCGGTTAAACACAAGAATAATTAAAGATTTAGATTAAAGTATTGTAATATACTATCATATGATGAATACACGATCTTCATAAAGCACATGGTGTTTACTGTATCAGAGACCTCACGTTCTCTTTGATCTCGTGTTAATGAGTCTGTTGTGTGTTTCCAGGACAGCGAGGAGCTGCTCTCTTACTCTCGGGCCGACACTTGTCCCGTTCCCATGTCGCAGCTGCCCTGGGTCCAGAAGCAGCCGCATTCGCCTTGGCTCCTCGTCCACTTCCACGGAGGAGGCTTTGTGGCCCAGACGTCCAGATCTCATGAAGTTAGTGATGGGCTTTGATCTGATATCTATACGCCTTCCAGGACTAGCATGACCAAGTGAACACGTCATCCAGGACTAGCATGACCAAGTAAACACACCCTCCAGGACTAGCATGACCAAGTAAACACGCCCTCAAGGACTAGCATGACCAAGTGAACACGCCATCCAGGACTAGCATGACCAAGTAAACACGCCCTCCAGGACTAGCATGACCAAGTAAACACGCCCTAGTAAATACGCCATACAGGACTAGCATGACCAAGTGAACACGCCATCCAGGACTAGCATGACCAAGTAAACACGCCCTAGTAAATACGCCATACAGGACTAGCATGACCAAGTAAACACGCCCTCCAGGACTAGCATGACCAAGTAAACACGCCCTAGTAAATACGCCATACAGGACTAGCATGACCAAGTAAACACGCCCTAGTAAATACGCCATACAGGACTAGCATGACCAAGTGAACACGCCCTAGTAAACACGCCATACAGGACTAGCATGACCAAGTGAACATGCCCTCCAGGACTAGCATGACTAGGATATAACCCAGCATAGATCCAACATACGCTGTGATCAGGCTCCGGCCTCTGAGGCACATGTTCTGGTCCTATCCACATTTACAACTTGTTCTGACATTTTTCAGTGTTCCCCGACCTTTTTGAGCTGGGCCACACCTTTTCTATTGAAAACAAACAAACCAGCTAAAACTTAAACAACATTTTTTTTATCAACTCTGAAAGACATTCTCATTAAAGCTGCACTAACTGACTTTGGGATGTTGAAGCAGCGGACTCGCTGGCCTCGCTCTTTCTGCTCCCCTCCCCGCACCCACGAAGCTATCGCCCCCCCACACACACCCACTGTTGTTGATGGAGCTAGCGTCTCTAATATGGATAAATCCATGGATATGGATTTGCACGTGGATGGTGTGACCATAGAACGATAGAACCGGGAAGCGCGGAGGAACAGGACTTTCTTTTGGATGGCTGTTTCACTGTGTAAGCAGTAACCGGTGACGAAGACGAGGAAGTTTCAGGTTAGCCCCTCGGCTTGTTATGCTAACTCAGCTGTCTATGCTAACGGACCTGTAGATTTCTCACGAAAGTGGGGGCTAGTGGTGCGCTGTGATTGGTCACAATCTGCGACCCGAAACACATTCTCTTCCTGGTTTCATCAAAACTCGATCTAAAATATAATGTCACGCCAGCACAAACCTGCCCTACTTATTCTTCAAAAGGACGTATATCCCAATGCACTACATGGACATGGACAGCATTTTCGTAATGAATACGAAAATAAAGTCAGTTAGTGCAGCACAAACAAGTTTATTTTGTCCAAATACGTGACATTGGACCATTTCCAAAGGCACACCATGCAGCATATCAAGGCACATCACACGCTCACTCCAACACATACAGTGGGGCAAAAAAGTATTTAGTCAGCCACCGATTGTGCAAGTTCTCCCACTTAACATAAGGACAGAGGTTTGGAATTTTCATCATAGGTACACTTCAACTGTGAGAGACAGAATGTGAAAAAAAAATCCAGGAATTCACATTGTAGGATTTTTAAAGAATTTATTTGTAAATTATGGTGGAAAATAAGTATTTGGTCAATAACAAAAATTCAACTCAATACTTTGTAATCTAACCTTTGTCGGCAATAACAGAGGTCAAACGATTACTGTAGGTCTTTACCAGGTTTGCACACGCAGTAGCTGGTATTTTGGCCCATTCCTCCATGCAGATCTTCTCGAGAGCAGTGATGTTTTTGGGCTGTCGCCAAGCAACACAGACTTTCAACTCCCTCCACAGATTTTCAATGGGGTTGAGGTCTGGAGACTGGCTAGGCCACTCCAGGCCTTTCTGCTGCTTCTTCTGCTTCTTACGGAGCCACTCCTTCGTTGCCCGGGCGGTGTGTTTGGGATAATGTCATGCTGGAAGATCCAGCCACGTTTCATCTTCAAAGCTCTCACTGAAGGAGGTTTTGGCTCAAAATACATGGCCCCATTCATTCTTTCCTTAACACGGATCAGTCGTCCTGTCCCCTTAGCAGAAAAACAGCCCCAAAGCATGACTTTTCCACCCCCATGTTTCATGGTACAGTAGGTACAGTATGGTGTTCGTCATGTTCCAAACACGTCGAGTTGAGTTTATACCAAGCAGTTCTACTTTGGTTTCATCTGACCACATGACATTCTCCCAATCCTCTGCTGTATCATCCATGTGCTCTCTGGCAAACTTCAGACGGGCCTGGACATGCACTGGCTTCAGCAGGGGGACACGTCTGGCACTGCAGGATTTGATTCCCTGTCGTCGTAGTGTGTTACTGATGGTAACCTTTGTTACTTTGGTCCCAGCTCTCTGCAGGTCATTCACCAGGTCCCCCCATGTGGTTCTGGGATTTTTGATCACCGTTCTCATGATCATTTTGTAAATTTCCAGCCTATTTCTGGAGTCTCTGTCTGAAGTTTGCTCTTTGTCTTGGGAGTGATTAACTGTTTATGAGCCTGGATCAGTTTATTGTTGTTCATAGTGATAATCTGAAACCAAGATTAAATGAGTTCAGTTCAGTTCAGGCCTGAATGAGTCGATGCTGTCGGGAAACGACTTCACTTTGTGTCCAGCTTTTCTTTCCAGAGCACTTTAACCTCAGTCAAATGTAAGTTTGTACCTGTAGGCCTTTAGTGTGTACCTGTGAAATGTCATGAAACTTTTTTAATACATGCGCCATTCAAAGTCTGTGTATGTTTGTGTGTGTATATGTGTTCATGTTTTCTGCTACTAAAGGAATCAAATAATTCAGATTCTATGAAATGTGTTCAGCTTCAAACACTGAACATCTGACTGTAGTCTGACATGGTGGGTGAAAGTGTAGCTTATGAACACATGAACATGTCTTTTCTAACCCTCTGTGTTTGGTTCCAGAGTCTCACTGGCCTTGGCCTCGTCAGCCCACGGCAATGCTTCAGTTTCACATTTCCTGTTTTGGCCGCCTGTGACGCAGAAGTTGAGGCCTGGTTTTTTTTTTTTTTTTTCCTGCCGTTGTTTCTTGAAGCTCCTCGCTGCTTTGCACTACGTTATTTTAACCTAAATTCTCTGAGTTGATCTGAACCCGGGTCCTCTCTCATACGAGTCTAAAGCCTCCATTCTTTAGTTCGCTGTTTCCGACGGGGCTTCGAACCCACGCCCCACTGTTCTCACTGAAGTGCCTTATAAGAAAATCCTCCTTCATCCACAGCAGACGATGAGCACAATACGAAACACACATGATTTTATTTTTAGACATTTTATGCAAGAGAAATTAACTCAGAGCTCGCCCTTTCACCCTGAATGTGATTGTCGCAATAAAAATGGCAGCTTTGTTCAAACTTCACGACTGTTTCTATTTGACATTGAGTGGAAAGCCACTCGAAAGGAAGTGGGATGTAGAAAACTGTTTTAGGTTCATTCTGACACGATGAGAGCCGTGCTGCAAACGAGAGGTGTTTTTAAATCTATAAACTCATGACTCGTTTCTCTCGATGTGGACCACTGAACGGCTTTTGGTTCAGATCTATTTGGAAGTTTAAATTTCCAGCTATGAATAATTTGTAATGCAGACAAATCCAGCTGGGACCATAACAGCAGAATAGATAAGAGTTTTGTAACAACAAATCTATAACCAACACCTTTTTCACAAAGACAGAAATCCTGGTTTTATTCCTTGTTTTGTCGTTAATGATTTGAGAATCATAACAAGACCTTTTTTAGTTCTGCTCCACATGGTACTTTACCAGTGAGATTAGCTCCACACAGTGAGTTCTGGTTGGTGAAACGGAGGGTGGGACATCAAAATGAAAACTACAAGATTTAGGGTCTGGAAAAGTAATTTAGAAATTCAAATATCTCTGAACTACTGTTATCAGTTAAAGATATTTTTTAATTCCAAGAAATGTCTCCTTGGAATGAAAAAATAAAACAACAGTTAAATTGCTTTATCCCATTGGCAAATCTTGTTTTGAGACAGTCAAAATATAGGGAAATAAAAAAAAACACTTGATTCAAGCAATTACTGTCCCATATTTTATCTTTTTTGCAGTGTAGTAAGTGGTTTACGTGGTTACAGGAGGTAAACTCCCAAGTTCCGACACCCGAGTAATTCAAACGTTTTGACCCTGACTTTCCCTTTACCTCTAGCCTGAACTCTTTGCCACTCAACACCTGTCCTCCTTGAGTTTTGGACTGCCGATCTCACAATCGATCTTTTCCTCTCCCCAAATGCAACAGCGTCCCGCCTCCACACGCCGAGTAGCATGCCAATTCTGCTGCTCTCTTCTTTTTCAATCAGAGCCGGAGTCCGTAACCCGCCTGCCACAAATTGGACGAGAGCTAGCGGAGATTTTATTCCTCTTGGCGCTGCCCGGAGCTTGGCGTGGCACCTCCACTCCTGTCATTCAGAAGAGAGAGAACACAGCGGCACAGAATTGTGTTTTGCTTTCAACGCCATGTGGCTATCTTTTCCCGCAACCGTCACTTTTTCCAGTCCTTTCCTGCAAAGCTGGCAGCGGTCGTGACGTCCCATTTCATTTTTCTGCTGTTATTGCGCTGGTTATTATCTGGGAGTTCACACTAGAGTCGAGTTGCGGCTTAGCTTAATATGTGTGCTAATTTCTAATTGCAGAATGGGGCTGTGAACTGGTTCCATTTGCATATAGGGGAATATTCCAGAAAATGTGATTAACAGAAAGCAAAGCGTTCCCAAAAGTTTGTCGGATCAATTCAGGCAATTTCAGCGTTTTTGAAAGAGTTTGTGCAGAGAAATTATTTCCCCTCTCCCTCCCTTTATTAACTCATTTGAACAAAGTAATAATGTGAAAAGGGAAATTACAAATATCTAAATCATCTGTGAGTTCACTCACGGTTTGTTTTAGACAATATCATGAATTATGTGTGCGCATTTTGGCCTTATACGTGGAGAAAAATTGACTTTATAAAGTGTGCTTATTAGCGCAGCCAATTGTCTTTGTTATTACGTTGTTTTTAAATTTTACAATAATTTTTTTAAGCAAATCTGTAAAAATTCTCCCACTTAAAATAATACAATTGCCATATACTTGCCCCAGAGTAAATTCAATTACATTAAATGTATTTGTATACAGCCCTAATTCACAACAGATGTCTTGGGGTACTTTACAAAGATTTTCCAACCACAGATCACAAACTAATGGTCGTGGGTTTGAGCCCACCACGAACCATGTCATCTGCTCCCACTGATGTCTGCTGTTGTTGTGTCCCTGGGCAAGACACTTAACCCCACAGTGCCTGAAGCCCCCGCTGAAAGACCAAGGCCATGTCTTGATCACGGAGAAGCCATCTTCCTGTGGACCCACCACCTGCAGGAGGATCAGCGAGGGACTGGTGCATTGAGACTTGGGTGGCAGCTCTGATTGCCACCCCCCTGACCCAGAGATTGTTTAATAAAGGGTTAGAAAATGACATGACATGAGATCACAGACTCAAATAGTTAGGACACAGGAAATACAATTATAAGGAACACATTGGAGCCAGAGCGAAGGATGACCACTGTCCATACATTAAAATAAATGCCCCAGATCATCACTATCCTTAGACCCTGCAGAAAGGACCAAAATAACCCAGTAGGAAAAAAATCTATGAAAACCGTTTGCGAGAGGGGGTTCCTTGGACGTACAAACTTTAGATCCAGGACTGAGGATGAAATCCATGCTGTTATAGCATGGATTTCAGCATGGTTGTAGTATGGATGTATTACACTATAAAACTGGTCACACTCACTGAATGTGACTGTGGGTCAGATAAATAAGCTGTTTTATTATACCAAAAGCATTTTAAGTAATGTACAGATATGGACACAAGCTCTTATTTTGTTATAAAAACAGTGTATTTCATGTATTTTATGTGTTAGTTTAATAATCCTATGTTAAATGGGGCTGCAGTGATACAATATGGTCTACAGTATACTGTACATTGCACTACCCAAGTTAGTGTATTTTCCATAAATAAGTAAATCCATCCATCCATCCATTTTCTTCCGCTTTATCCATTGCCGGGTCGCGGGGGCAGCAGTCTAAGCAGAGACGCCCAGACTTCCCTATCCACACACACCTCCTCCAGCTCGTCCGGGGGGACCCCAAGGCGTTCCCAGGCCAGCTGGGAGACATAGTCTCTCCAGCGTGTCCTGGGTCTTCCCCGGGGCCTCCTCCCGGTGGGACGTGCCCGGAACACCTCCCCAGGAAGGCGTCCAGGAGGCATCCTGAACAGATGCCCGAGCCACCTCAACTGGTTCCTCTCGACGTGGAGAAGCAGCGGCTCTACTCCGAGCTCCTCCCGTGTGACTGAGCTCCTCACCCTATCTCTAAGGGAGCGCCCAGCCACTCTGCGGAGGAAGCTCATTTCGACCGCTTGTATCCGCGATCTCGTTCTTTCGGTCATTACCCAAAGCTCATGACCATAGGTGAGGGAGGGAACGAAGATTGACCGGTAAATCGAGAGCTTTGCCTTTCGGCTCAGCTCCCTTTTTACCACAACGGTCCGATACAGAGACCGCATCACTGCGCACGCTGCACCGATCCGCCTGTCAATCTCACGCTCCATTCTTCCCTCACTCGTGAACAAGACCCCGAGATACTTGAACTCCTCCACTTGAGGAAGGGCCTCTCCACCCACCTGGAGTAATAAGTAAATCAATTGGGAAAATGTGATATTACAGTTGATTGAGATTTCCAGATTTATTAAAATATTATATTTTGACTAAAAGATTTTTGTGAGGCCGTGATACTGAGAAATCCCAGCCTTGGAGTACAACAAGGTTGAAGGAAAGAATCATCGATGGCGAGCCTCCCGGTAAAATTCGGAGTCCTACCACCGTTCCTGCAGATGCCGTGGTAGGATTGTGCCAGTCCCACTAACAAGAGTATCAGTACACAATACTCCACGAGTATCTACATTCCCTGACTTGACTATATTGACTAGAACATTGAACACAAGTTCCAGAAAGAAATTTTTTCCACAAAGACATTTTCATTTCTTAGTTGGGCCCATTAGTTTTGTTTTATAAATGTATGTGCATTATTTTAATTTTCTGAACTAAAAGTCATATTTAAGTTAAATACTTGTGTGCTGTGTTTATTGCTATCGTCATCTCCTACGAACCTAGAGGTTCAACGTGTACATACTGTACCTTGAAGTGGGTTACATGAATAGTATAAAACAGAAAAATAAATGTCCCGTTCATACTATGTTGCATTTAAAGCAGGGGTGTCATTCATACGGCCCGCGGGCCGGAATCGGCCCGCCAAGATATTTGACACGGCCCGCGGCTAATTTATGTAAAAATATAATAATAATACATTTTAAAAAGCCGTTCTGCGACGCGAGGCTCCGCGACGCCGCAGCGCCCCGCTCAGGGGTGAGTCCAGTGCGTCTGTAGTGGCTCCACCAGAGCGGTGCTGGAGGAATAACATCTTAAACTACAAGACTCGGCAAAAAATACGGCACTTTGAGTGGAGAATTGAGAAAACAGAAGATAAACATGTCTGGCCATGAAGACACAGCAGTCTGTTTGTGCCCAGAGCGAGAGGTTAGTTCTGCTGCTGTAAAGGGAAGCTACCTGTGCTAACAACATTAGCATTAGCATCACAGCCGCACAGTGAGAGAGAGTTTGTTAAAACTCTCACAGGCTGCAGACATGGTCTGAGAAACCACTCGCTTTTACCAACATGTTGCCATTGATAAGAGACTGATGTTACTGATGTCACATATTCATTTGTGGTGTTACTGAAACTATCAGAGGAGTTTTGAGCGCTGCTGCTGGTGCTGGTTCTGCTGCTGGTTCTGCTGTTGTTGCTGGTGTGTTGGACAGTGTGGAAGGGTACCGATGGTAAAAACAGGTGTAGTGACAAAGCTGCAAATGGAGGTGATGATTTTTGGACATTTGACTGTATTTTACACAGAGACACTGCTGCAGTCGTTAAGAATGGATCACGTTATGGAAGTTGTTTTATTCATTTCAAGTGAATCATGGTCAGTTTGATGCTTTCTCTGTGATAATAACATAACCATGGACCTTACCACACTGAAGATGGTTAAGCTGAGGTGCTGTGTTAAAGTGCTTTTTTCTCTGTAATGAGCCTTAAAACAAAGCTAACATACAAATATTAATATACATATTGTGAAATACCATTTTCAATGTAATATTGTAAATACATTACATTATTTGCACTATGGAAAACTCACTGTTACATTTAAGTTTGTAACAGAAAACTGAGTATTAAAGGATAGTGTTTTAAAGGAAGTTTTAAATAAATGTGTTTATGTGCACAAAAAGTTGGACTTTGTACCGTTTTTGGATATTTTTGTAGAGCATCTCCTGGTCCGGCCCACTTGAGATCAGATTAGGTTGTATGTGGCCCCCGGACCAAAATGAGTTTGACACCCCTGATTTAAAGGGTTGATCCATAAGGTGGGAGGCCTTCTGTTTTAAAGGCCTCCTCCTCCCGACAGCTCCTGCTATTACACTACTCAAGCCCACCAGCACTCTCTCCTCCAATTTTAAACCAAAAACGACGACTTTGCTTAATGTGTGTCCTTTAAAGGAAAGACTTACACAAGTTCACTTCCAATTACTCTAATCTATCCGTTCTGTCTCCTCTGATGTCTGTGAGCAAATATCAACTGCCTATTTCCTTCTTTTATCCTTTCTTGTTTTTGAGATCAAAGGCAGAATGAATAATCTGAAAACGCTTTGACATTATACCGCTGTGTGAGAACAATTCCAAAGTGATCGTGTCGCGGTTGAGGAAGAATCCTCTTGACTGACTCCCAATCTCTGCTTATAATTGCAGCTGGTCCATCCTCTGCCTGCCTGGGATCTGTGTGCACTTTTACTTTTATCTTAAAGCCATTGTGTCCCTGTTCATTGTGGCTGACATTTCCAAAAAGCAATCGAGCTCACAGTTCAAAGTTCTCCATATCGGGGGCGCCAGATTAGGTGGCGATTTGTGTAAAATGTCATCAGGCGTGCTAGCTAACATTTGTACACGTAAAAGACGGACTACAGGGGATCAGCGGTGCAGAGGATTCTGGGAATGATGGCGATATGACAGAAAGGGCAAAACGCACAGGGCATAATAACGAGTCTATCAGTGATCTAAGAGCAACGGTGACAGGAGAAAGGAAATGACTCTTAAGCTACAC